CAACTCTTGAAATTTCATAAACATTTACAGTCTAGTTAAATTGTATAATTGATATTTAAATTCTGTATGAAATTAGAATGAATTTAGGTTACTAATGCTTCTGAGCACTTTTTATTGTAAAGTAATTTTGGGTTTCCTGAGGCTTTATGAATATTCATTACTGTGCATCTATTACCACATTCGGGTTCAAATCTAAGTATCTAGATATTCAAGGAGCTTATTATCATCAAACAGTTAAACCGGATTTATTTAAGTTAGTCAATTTTCGTTGTACAATGATCTTTATATATTGAAGCAAATGAAACGTTTTTTAGTCTTTTTTTTACCAAATCAACACTCCTCAACTTCTCAATAGAATTTCCAGAATTCCATTATGAATTCACTTACTTGTCACTGCATAGTCATCATCTACAATGTAGGTTTCATGGATTTGCCAGACAATTTGAAAGCAGTGATACAGTATAAAAATTAAGATTATGAAAAAGCAAGAGATGTTAATGTACTGAAAGGTTAGTGGAATCAGATAATCATTTCATTAAGAATATGAAATTAAGATAAAAACTCTGTGTCAGTGCTTTCTGATTCATATTGGTCTCTTGATTTATATCAGTTGGTGATATAATCTAATTGATAACTGATGTCAAATGTTCTTTACTCTGAGCACATCTGTAAGTTGAAGGAAATTTCTAATACCCCTAACTACAGTATTTTGCATCATACGTGAATGAAATTCGCGAAATAACCATCAGACAAAAATATGTAAATATGATGCAAGTTGTTCTGATGATGAATTTTCAAAGACACTGAACATAAAACACATGGAACAGGCAGTTTTTATCCGAAAATAGTCAGAAAAACATATCAACAACTTTGAAGATACTAGTATATCCTTAAAAATTTGAACATATATCACTCTGTGCCACAGTCGAGATTGTAACCTCTGAGCTATTCGACTGACCATAAGCTTAATACATAATTGAGATATTTGTAATAACCTACTCAGGTTCAGTCGCTTACACTAAAGTTAAGTTAGTGTCAAAATCTAAACCTCATAATATTGAATAATAACCAATAACGCTTTACTTTCAACAATTGGTTTCCAAATTAAATTCATCTAAGTCTGATTGTTCATTGTATTAACATTGAGAGGCATAAGATTTAATCTACGGAAACTCATTAATTTATTCAAATATCAAAACATCGACCGGTACAAAATACAGGTACATGTTTTTCTTTTAATTTCCCTCAAAAGTCTAACATTAACAGATTTTGTTTTGTAAATTCCAGGAATCTCACAATATCGTGATCAGTTAGATAAAAATTCAATGCCAAGCAAACATGTCAATTTAGATCATTGTAATACAAAGTTTCCGTTTCGTGCAAGTGTTTTATTTACCCTCATATCAAAAATGTTATAGAATGAGATAACTAATGAATCTTAAATACTTTTGATAAATAAAACAAGAGCCATTAACCTAGTAAACTGAATGTTTGAACTTTCATTAAAATTTGATTAAATGTAGAAGATCATTGTCTGTATACGAAATTGAACAAAACAATTAAAATATAACACTATACTTAAGAAGGATAAAAGGGTAAAGTGAGAATAATTCCAAATGACTGACTCATTTCAATATTGGTTCTCGTTTCTTGTAAAAAAAATGTAGCGATAATTGAAAAGCGTTTTATTTGCATAGTTCACATAGAAAAGGGAATATTACAATTCATTAACCAGAATATGTTTTTAGTAATGATGAAGTAAAGATATCATTAACTTAGATATATTGTTTATTTTTATTGAATTCAATGATTGGCGGTTGTTCAAATCATTTTTATTTGGCTTCTGGAATAGTTTGACTTCTGTTAATAACCCTTAACGAATAGCGGTTTTATACATATATCGACAGAGGTTTGTTCTCTGAATTGAATGGTTTAATCATAAAGCCATCACTGTTCTGATGAACATAGTCATCAGCGTAAACTTCAAGTAGAAATGACGTATTCTGGTTTCTCTATCGATACGACAGTAAGAAAAGTCAGCATTACTTCCATTTAAATTCAATGTACTATTGGTTTTTGTTTCGCCGTGTGATATATTCTGTATAATATACAATATTCTTGTAGTGAATTGACATGAACTATGCTTAGCATATGACTTGTTATAACTGTATTTTTCATATATGTGATTTAATCCTAATTATTAATCAAAATGTGTGTACAAATCAATATATAAATGAGTGTATTTTCGACTAGTGTCGTCATCGTCGTCATGTTTCAGATTAATAAATCTTCACTTATACAAGTTTTTTTGCGTTCTTACTTTCACGTCGTGGGAATTGCAGAGGTCTCTCGTTTCAAGTATAATTGATAAGCGATTCCAATATAACAATCAGCGACGACTAGTTATAACAAGTAGCGTTCAATCGACAAGACTTATCATTTATGTATTTATTTTAAAACAAAGTTTCATCCTTTGTTTTCAGCAAAGTTTCTATACTGTTATCAATTTTACTATCATAAATAAATGAAGTCATATAATAATCAGCATCAATAGTGATATAGCGACTCACGTGCAAATGAGTTTAGTCTCATCTAACGCAGTTAAGCTCTTTTGCTAACTCATTTAGCGGACAAAGTCATCGGCACTATAACAACTTATTGTACCCTTATTATTTTGTGCTTGTATGAAATACGTATGCTTGAATATTGCTTACAGCCTACGCATTTATTCACTCTGCTAGTCTTACTACTAACTGCTTATTTAATTCGATTACTCATTCATTTCACATGGTATATATGTGTCCACGTTATTCATATTCAACACTCACTCACACACTCTCGTCTCGCTCTTGCTATGGCTCCCGCTCGCTTGCTTGCCTTTCGGCACAACTCTTCTATGCTTGTTTAACGCATCTGTACATTTGGATATATATGTGTGGTCTCGTAATAAACGTAATCAACACTTCGTATTTGCCTTCTGATTAATAAACCGTTGGGACGTTATATAGAACGGTTATCAAGACGAGCTGTATACGAAGTTTAAAGATTATATCGAATACCGACCACCACAGTGACATTATTCATCCTTTAACTAAACTAAGTAATTTCATGTTTAAATGTGATACTGATTAATCAACATATTACATCTAGTATACCATTTCAAAATGATCATATTGTTTGAGTTGCGAATCCATTTAAAAGTGAATTTTCTCAATATGAAAATAATTTTAAACATTGACAAGAAATTACAAAGAAATTACTTCAAATGACAAAGCATTAGATCATTATTTCATCATCATTTAGGTATCCTAGCAGGATATGCAGTTATAACTCTAAATGAGATCAAACCAAAAATTTTAGAGCCTTGTTGCATTTTTGCCATTTTAGATCGATTGCTGATGGATTTCAGTCATCAGAAGTTTCATCAATTTCATTTCCAATATGTGATAATGTACATTTCAGGTGACATTTATAAATATGTATATTTGTAAACCTTATATGAGTGCGGGTAGAATAATGATTACATATAATCGCTAACTGTAAGATGATCTTACTTAAGATGTTGGAATATTTGAGAATTGTGGAAAAAATTAGTTAAATGTCTATAATAGTATTCATTGTGTAATTTATTTCTGTTTAAGTTGATATTTAATAAAACATACAGATGAACAACACGCTGTATTATAAATCAAATGTTTGGAAACTATACTTTATAATATGAATGGGGGTGTGTGTGGAGATTTCAGTAATTTAAGAGTTGAATGCATGAGTCGATTGAAGCTAGACCACCATGGAAAACCTAGAAGCACTAGACAGCCGTTTCATCCTAGTATAGGACTCCTCAGCACTGTGTAATGATGATAACTCTTAAAGATGGGTTACAGTACTTGCTTTTTCCTGAAATAAGTAACAAATGACATGGTTACACGTTGAAATGTTTAGAATTGTGAGAGTATTTTTTAAAATATTTAAATGTTGTCATTCTTTATAAATAAATTTAAAATGTCTTATTGTCAAAATAATCTGTGATTTTAATTTCAAGGGAAGAACTGAGGTCGTTACTATTTAATAATGAAATCTTTCTGTTTAGTAGTCAAGTGGAATTTTGTCAAGTTTTTTTTGATATTTTAAAATTAAGAAATTGTTTTTCATTGCCATATATATTAGGTTTAAAACTATAGATCAACTGATGTGTTTTTCTAATGTTTACATTTTCCCAAAACTTTAGCATTAATCGGTATGTTTTACATGTAATGAATTTTGTTATTAATCAACTTTACACAGTTTAGTTGGTTCCTTCATTTTAACGTCAATTAGGTCAGACGATGTATTCGACAGACTCAGAACTTAAGTGACCCGAGATCTGACTTAAGATGAATTGAAATATACATTCTGATTATCCTCGTATATAATTATTGACTTAGATCGAGTTATAATGAATAACGGAATTAAATAAGTCAAATATGTGAATGGATGCTTTGAATATGTATATTTTGTTCACTCGTTGATCGGAACAGACAATCAGATAATCGCAGCAAATGAAGCGAAGAACAGAGATTAAAGCGTAACAAAAGGACGGACAGTGGAGAAAGCATGTGAGTCAACTCCATTTAGTCAAGCGTTAATCAATATTTATAGTCACACAAAAATATGCCACAAACATGTACTGAATAGGATAAGATGTACACACATATATGCTCATATAAAAATAGTAAGGGTTGATAAGTGAACAATTGAGAAAGTCAAAATGTAGCTTGAGAAAAGTGGATAAATTGGCCAGTCCAGAAGCTAGAATAAGTTATGTGGGCATAACATAGTAACCGACACAACAACAGGTAAACTTTTCTTTATTCAAAGTATGGTGAAGTTGGTAAGTCATCCAAATCTAAATAAACATAATGTATTAATTATGATTAGTGTATTTTTAGAAGAAAAATGAACGAAAATGTGTTTCACTTATTCTATATATTTATTTTTTGTAATAGAAGAACTCGTGAACAATGCCAGAACAGCCAACAGATTATCGTGTAGCTGTATATGGTTCAGGAGGAGTTGGTAAAACATCACTTGTACTTCGATTTGTACGTGGAACATTCCGTGAGACATATATTCCAACCATAGAAGATACATACAGACAGGTAAACTAACTTAATATGTTAAACTAACTATTATATATTTTTGGTTATAACATGAATATCTTATATATCAGCTATTGTCTATTCATCCAAATTCTTTCAGACGAATATTTATGAACTATACGTTTTATAATGTTTCCCAAATAATTCATGTAATGACATTAGAAAATATTCAGTCTACTCAAGAGATCATTGATGAAGTCATCTAATAATTGTTTTGGTTTTGTCAAAGTTCATTTTGATTATTTCTATCTACTATCTATGAGATTAACTTATTATGTATGTGAGTTACTCCTATGTAGTGTAGAATAATTTCAATTTTCAACATAATATATAACAAGTAATACATTTGCTCATATTTGAGTCTTTTTGTGTGTAAAACTGTGTAATATCAGTTAACACAACTTAAGATCGCTAATTCATTAACCAATGTCAAAAGAACTTTTTATTCATCCACTAGTCAATTTTATATTGTTTAGTAGGTTAATCTAAAGATATTAGGTCACTTCAACCAGATATCTCAGATTAAAAATATTAAAATTTAACCGTCAAACAGATTTCGTGTTCCCATTCAATATCTACAGTATTAGTTTCTCTGTAATGTATTATCATGAATTATGTATTTATCATGGTTATTACCATCAGGTCATACAAAATATGTTGACCAGTTACATTGAATATGTTGTTATATATAGTATGATAAATAATTAAGCTAAAATTAATAATGCTATTAATAATAATATTGTACTTAAGACATACAATAAAATGTTATACGTAGTTTACATAAACGACCTTCATTGATTCCGGTATCAATTAAATTCAATCAAGAACTACTTTAAAGGTTACATATATAGATATAATGAAATGCTGATTTCTACTTTTCAAATACCAAAAAAAGATTCCGGTTTATAAAAATCAACAGTATAAACATGACAATGAATTTCTTTTAAATTCTTTCATTCATTTCCTGAATCTCTATTGTAAACTTAAAAGATCTAATAGAAACTTATAATGACTGTAGTGTTTTCTTTAATTTTTCAATATAATACTGTATTACAAAGTCAAATGCTGATGTCAAACTTATATTATTACTGAAGGATTAATATGACCTAAATAGATCAATTGATAATAATATGAACTTGAACCAACTGAATATGTAAAAATAAATAGACTTTTTGTGACCTTATATCTGACACTAATTGGATAGTATGAATGATGGTTGTTGAAATATACATTCCAGTTACCCTTGTATATAATTATCAGATCAAATTTCGTTAATGAATAACGGAATCAAATAAGCTAAATACAAGAATGGATTTCGTATACTTATGTTTCATACAATCGTTGATCTGGACAAACAATCAAGGAAACGAAGAAAAGGGAGCGAATAGAAGAGAGCAAAGCGAAACGAAATGATGCACAGTGGAGATGGTGAGGTATTGAATACCTATCCATAATATGAAAATTCATAAAGGTGTGTGAAAAATCACCATCATTTAAATTGCGCTTTGACAAAATCAAATTAAGTGAATGCTATCTAAATTCTTTAGAAAACTGTACGGCCGTATGATTACAAAACTTATGGTAAAATATGTGAAAGTATCACTTTATAAAACGTTTTACGTTTTAAACAATAATCCATTTAATACACACAGCACTCTAAAATGTTTTTTATAGAAAAGATTCATAACCGTATCATTGTGTAGTCACGTTATTTAAAAACTAATACTAACAAACTTCCTAAAATAATATTTTTTGGTTGAAGAAATTTTCACTCGTCGAGAAAACTATTTTTTTTGCTATTTTTGAAATGAGCTGATAAAAAGAACACACATTAATAAATGTGGATTTCGAAGAATGTAGAGTTTTGTAAATGAAGTTACGAACTGATCTTGAACAGTCACTGAACACCAAGCGGAGCTATTTCTAGTTAGCGTTTTTTAGCGAGTTAGTTTTCTATGGGATGGGGTCACTAACCCCATGCACAACCCTCCTCCTTTATCCGGGCTTGATACAGACAGTAGCCCCCAGAGGGACTCCAGTCGGAGTTAAGAGGAGCTATACAAATATTTTATATTAGTATAGAGATCGTGGGTAAACACAGTTGAGAATCTTAATAGAAGGTCTGAACAGCTATTTAGCACTTTCCGGTCTCTAATTGTTATCTATCGAAGATGAAAATTGGACATTTTTTAGAAATTATAGTAAACTGTAGTTTGATTCTACAGATTTTGTTGAATAGTGTACTAACAAGAAAATATGGTATAACAATTCCTTCAAATACTTTCACCCAATTAATTAAATTATTGCATTCCATTTTTTACTCTGTTTGAGACAACTAAATGAAGAAGTTCAATAGGATAATTTGCTTTTGTAAACATACTTAATTACTTTGTTTGTGGAAACTAGAAAAAATAAAGTGATGTACTGATGTAGTTTTGTCCTTGGAGCCGGAGAGAAAATTCCATCAAAACCATTCACCTGAGCTACAAATCTTCTCCACCATCTCAAAGTGATGTACTATTTTGGAAATTTTCAACGTCATTTGATCAACTGATGATCTTATCGAGTTGAACTTTACTAATGAATTACTACAAAAAAGGTCAATTAAGGATAATAATAGTCAATAACGGACTTAAATTTTCTATTAATAATTAAAATAGGTTTGTAACAACGATTGCTGTTAGCCCAAATATCACTGAACAGTAACAAAGATTAAATGATCGTTTTATTTTGCCTTATAACAGAATTGATAATATAGACTACTGAGTTAATAAGTCAATGTTTATGAAATAATGTACTTATTATAAGATCTAACGGTTGGAAATTTATTCTCATTTAGAATGGTGTTTATGTATGGAACAGAACTTTCGGAGTTTTTATTTTACATTGAATAATCTACACATGTATTTTATTTAACAATTGAATTCATGAGTCAATTGAAGCTAGACTACCATGGAAAACCTCGAAGCACTGGATGGCCGTTTCATCCTAGTATGGGACTCTTCAGTGCTGCGTTTTGTGGAGGCCCTTAATTTTATCGCTACCTAGATCGGACGATGTTTGTTGACAGGCTCTCTACTTTAATGGCCCGCGATCTGACTCAAAGGAGATCGCATGAATGTTTATTATCGCCTATCCTCGTATATAATCATCGACTTTGATAGCGTTAGTCAATAACGGAATTTAATAAGTCAAATAACGAGAATGGACTTGTGAATACATATATTTTGCATATAAAGCAAATGGAATAGAGAGAAGAGAAAAGACGCAGAGTAAAGATGGCAGGAAAGCCATCTCCCACTTAACCAAGCGTTAATCAATATTTATAGTTACACAAAAGTAAGTTACAGACATGTGATGAGTAATAGGATAAGAAATGTAAACACAACTATGCGCTCATATAAAAAACAATCAAGACTGATAAGCGAATAAATAACAAGGTCAGAATGTGACTCAAGTAGAATGAATAGAATGGGCTGTTCGGAAGCTAGAATAAGGTATATGGGCTTAACATAATAACCGACACCACATGAGCATCTACGATCCCGCTCGCCGCGAAATTCAAACCTAGGACTTGTCAGTTTCACGCGTGAACACTTAACCTCTATTTAAACAATAATTAAATTATTTTTTAATACACGAATACATAAACCCATAGCCTTCTATCTAAATTGAGAATAAGTAAACTTATCCGTTACTTGAATTAAAACAAACAAACAACAAATTTATCTTTCATTCAATGAATGCATTAAATAAATGAAAATAAAAACTGTTTACATAACAAATGCATCTTCTTAGTTAAACAAATAGAATTCATAGTACATATAATACTTGTAATCAACTGGTAAGTAGTATTTTTGGAAATAAAACAAAGAAAAACCCTGACTGAAAGTCATATGTCCTTCTTTTTAAAAAAAGGAATATTAACAAAATTTCAGATAACAAAAAAAAACAACAATGACGACAACAACAGCAACAACAACTTTTAACTATCATCCAATTAGGGTAACAATTTTTTGAAACATTTGAAAAATATCTAAAAAAATAATTAATTAGGTCAGAAACTAATTTTTTTTATTTTTTTTAAAAAAAAAGAAATAAATTTATGTAATATCCAAGTTCAATTTAAGCTCATAATTTCTTATTTCTTAGGGAAAAGAAAAGTCAAAAGTATCTTTTAAAAGTGCATTATTTGATTGAAACAAAATATAAAATAAAGAGGAAAATTTTTAATCAGAATAAAAATTTTAAAAAAAATTAGAAATAATAAAGTGTATCAGGTGAAAACTCTTATCATCTTACTGCTAGGGTTGATGCTGTCACGAGTTCACTTAATCTATGAACGAGAACAAAGACTCAGTGACCAAAGACCAGTAAGCTAGCTATTTGATGCGGCCCTGCCCCGCTAACTAAAGGGAGAAGTTCAAGCTTGGAATGGGAAGGTATATTCTGCGAACAGCCAGAGACGAGCGATCACACAGCGATCCACAATCACAATTCAAATGTATGTATATCAATTATATGTATATACTCCATATTACCATGGAAGTATTTTTAAACATTTAATCGATAAGAATAGTTTAGTTAATTAACAATTTCAGGGTAAAATATACGTATAGTATTGATCCACAAATGGATCCCAAAAATTACTACTGATTATTCTTATCGGGGCATAACACACCTCCCCTTTTTTGGAGATCCGGAGTTGATATCCGGCTTTTAAGTTTTCCGGGTTCATCCTCCCCCACGAAACATTGTTGGATACTCATATGCCCAAGTTACAATTAGATCCCAAAATTTGCCACTGATTATCCTTATCGAGTATAACACTCACCACCTCCAAAAAAAAAGGAAAAAAATTAAACTGTTATTTATTTGAATCATAAATAAACAATTGAACAGAAGAATAGATGTGACTATTTGAAATATAAACAACAGACATTATTGAAGGTGTACTTTTACAAATGATTGATCATTGGGTAGTGTTCAATGTTATATAT